CGATAGATGGGTTATGCCAAACAATCAGTAATGGTATTTACCACTAATTTTTGTTGCACAATAAAACCTCTCGGAAGCGACCACTCTCCGTTCCACAGTAAAATGGAGGTGGGTCGTTCTTAGAGGTTAACCTCCATTGACTTCAAAATGGTTATCGAAGGTACATAATTTTTCGCAAACGATTTTAATTTTAGTCAGTGCCATTTTCTTGGTGTGGAAATGCCACTTTTATGTCATGAAAAGACAGATCGATGAATGAAATTTATCGTCTATAAAAATGATCCCAACTAATACAGTTATATACAAAAACAAATTTCCCAATTATGAAGGATAAAACTATTTTAAATAAATATACCATTACTTCTTGTTTGAATTTAATTTTACATCATAAATAATTAGTTAGCTTTAAAAAGGGAGAAGAGGTTTGTTCAGGGCTCGAAAAAGCTCAGAAATTTTACCCGTCCCCGAGGACGGCTTGTCCAACAATGCACCCGTCCTCCGTTGAAACTAACCCGTCGCTTTTAAATAAATAAAAATATAATTTTCTCCTATTTATTACAAACATTTATATAAATTGCACAATGAATTAGTCGTTACTAGGATTACATTATACAGTAATAAAAGAAATACTAGGTTACTAATAGTAACCTAGTATTTCTTTTATGAAATAATTTAAATGACAAGGGTCAAGTTATGTGGAATGTCAAGTTATCCGAGGGTACTGCGTTTTTTAAATGAATCAAATATGACGTTTGCCAGTTCCACAATCAAGCCAATGATTTACAGAGGTTTCTGAACAGAAATCTGAAAGGGGTTTTCCATTTAGGTAGATGTTCATAATTGCTTTTAAAGCTTCTTGTTTAAGACCAGTACGTATTGTGTTTTTTTGTAAGTTTATTGCTGCAAAGCCCCTTTCAACCGCTGCAGTACTCCCAGACAGAGAAAACATCAATATAAGCGCAGTATGTTGCTGTATTGTGGGTCATTTTGCTGTGTTGTAACTTACAAGACTCTTGCAAGATAACAAAAATTGAAAATGTATGACGAACATTAACGGGAAAATGAACGTCCGCGCGGACGTCGGATTCGAGAAACTCGTTGTCCGCGGAGAATTTTTGACCGTCGAGGACGGGCTGTTTTTCTAGCCCTGTTGTAATGTGAGGTATTGCATTTTATAGAATTTTGTGTTATATAAATCATTTGACATATCTCTTTGAACTTACCTGTTAAACATGGCAATTTTAGTCTGAAACAGATCATTATTTTCTTTAGTTCTTAAATATGAATAAAATTACAAATAGGCCGTTAAATATCTTTTGTTTACAGAAATTTTCATGAGTATTAGATTTATTAACACAAGTTACTAATTTTCCTTTTTATTAGCTTTTGAAATTGTAACCTCTTAGAAAATAATTTAACAAAGAATGCCACAAATTAAAAGCTCTTGCTTAGATACAGAAATTTCTCAATTGCAATTTTCCTTGTTTACAACCACAAATTCAATGAATTTTATGTAGAATTTCTGTTTATAGAATTCTGCTTCTTCTGTATCATTACTTTTTTATAATATCTATTAAAGACATGTAAACGGATCAATGATATTTTTTAAAAGAATTTTCCCCTGCTTTCAAATCGAATCTAAGAAAGGCTTCTACTTTTTTCTGCAAATTCGTGGAAGTCCTTCAATCTCAAGAACGTTTATTCGCGGACTTCCCGTGAATCAATTTCTATTCGACAAAATTTTCTCGCTAATCTAAACTTTAAATTTTGTTATTTACTCAAAATCTCGTTAACGAGGCATTTATTTTGCCCTGTACAGCACTCTTCCTCCCCCCCCCCTCCTAAGTTTTCCTTCACATGCATCTTTTTTTTTTTTGACGCAGAAAAACACGGGAGGAAAAAAATTCCATAATGACTTCTTTAGAATTAAGGCACTACTGATTCAAACGCAAAAAGTATAAAACTGGTTATCTTAAAGGTAATTTCAAAATGGCAAACATTTAAAAGATTGTTCACTAGAAAAAAATGGTGTTTTTTCTCTTTTTTTTTTAAACTTTTATTTTAATGAATAGCAATTTTGTTGCAAATTCCGATATATTATGGAAGAATTCTTTAATGAATGTGATATATTTGCCCCATTTTTTGTTTGGGCATAATTAGATCGAATTAATTTTTAATATGATATTATGACATAAAAATTTTGAATCGCGCATTTCACTTTGCAACGCTATCGTCGCAAATTCGCGGATTTCCACCAAACTCAGGACCGTTAACTCGCGGACTTCCGCGAATCAATAATTTTTAATGCGACAAAATTTTCTCGGAGTTCCACTAATTCAAAATTAAATTTCGCTACTCATGCAAAATTTTTTTAACGAGACATTTATTCCGCTGTTTCCCAGACCGTCGCCAATAGCCCACTGTACAGCTCTAAAGTGACGTAAATAAAAGTACTTGCCTTTTTTTCTTTCTAAGTTCTCATTCACGCTAGATAACGACTTTTTTTTTTTTTTTTGACTAATTTGTTAGAGAAAAAAGCTACTTCGTATAAACTTCGAGAACATGAGACAAAAAAATTCTATAATAACTTTTGCTAGATTTAATGAACTTCTGTGGCAAACACAAAAGCGTAAAATTGTTAATCTAAAAAGTGATTCCGAAATGACAAATCATTCAAAAGATCGTCCGCTAAAGAATTGTTTTTTGCTCTTACTTTATATTTAAATTTATATAATACTGACAATAGCATAATGTAGCCATTTTGTTGCAATTTCCAATTTGTAACAGAAGAATTATTTGATCAATGTGATTCCAGTATTTCTTGGCGACGATTAGATCGATTTTTTTTTAATATGATACCACGGTATGGAAATTTAGAATAGCGCATTACAGTAACCACTTTTGAACGCCTTCGTAAATCTTCGTTCCTATCTTCTTTTTCTTCGCAGTTAATACTATTGATTTCCACGTGGTTTTTAAAATTCCGATATAATTACGACACCCAAAATTTGTATCTCTCCTTTGAGTAATGATGGCTCTTGGCATTTCCGGCAAAATTAAATTCCTAGTGCACTTTAGCATCCAAATAGAGTCTCGGTGCTGCCATCTAGTGTGGCAGAAACTAGACGTCCAAATTAACATGACCAACGGTATCTCACCCATTATGGTGGTCCTGAAAGAGTGGATACCACCTCTGGAGAACGCACTAAGTCTGCTCATCGGCAGGACCGATTGTGCAGCTCATTGGAAATAAAAAAAAAACCCTTTGAGTAATGACTTTTTGATGCTTTCGATTTATATGGATTCCGCCGTAAATCCATGCGGTGTTTCAATCATTTTATCGGCTTTATTGTTACGAATTTTCTCAATGTTTATATATATACATAAATCCTAAAATTTTTTAAACACTACTATGATGACAGGCATAATTCAATTCATGCATTTATTAGTCATTTTTTGAACCGACGATACCACTGTATTTTTGTCGATGCACTTTTTCACAGTTATTGCTGCTGATTTCTACGTGGTTTTTTAAATCCCGCATGCGATATCATTAAGAAACGAAAAATTCGAATCGCACATTTGTATAATTATTTTTTGACGCACTAAATCCATGTGGTGTTTCGATCGTTTTTTTTTTTTTTTTTTTTCAATTATTGCGGTTGATTTTCGTATGATTATTTAAAATCTCAATAGCGTTATAATACGGTAAAATTCAAATTGTGCACATAGTTATTCACTATTGGATGCGATAATTTATTCAATTTATTACTTTTTTTAATCGATTTTTCATCAATTATCACTACTGATTTGATTTTTACGTTGATTTTAAAATTTCGACAATGTTAATACGATATTATTTACTGCAACACGTGTAGCTCGAAACGTTCATTTAACCCTTTTTTAACGGTTTGATTAATGAGATTTTATCGAAAATGCACTGCACGTTGTCTTATCATCAATCTTATAATTATTTTAAGAAGTATTACGGTTTTTGAAACCTTTCTTTCTTTTTTTTTTCCTTTGGAGAAGGTGACGACTTGCTGAATACAAAATAAGAGGAATATGTGATTTTTTCAATATATATTTTCTTTTTTATGTTGAGAAAAAAAAATAATTAGATGGAAAAAAAATTAATGCTCTCTTTAAATTTTATTAATATTACTTTTGTGCATAAAATAAATTTTTTTGAATCTTCTGTGAACGAAAAAAAGAGAAAATTGAAGTACTTAAAGAAAAGAAAAAAGAGAACTACACTTAGAAAAAAAAAATTTCAGATTATTTCTTTTACCTACAATCGCATGTCTGCGAAATGCAACCTGAAATAAACTTAAATAGTATTAATTGCTTAGTTAGTATTTAATACGAACTTATTTTAGAATTAGCTTCGTGTATTCAACATAGCATTTTCTAGTTTTTTTCTTCCCATTATCTGAAAATCGCTGTACAGCCCTATTGAGATGGAAATAGAAAAGTCACTCTGCAATCGGAAAAGAAACAAGAAGAAAAGGTCACAATCCTGAAGAAAACCTGGTTGATAACACAGCACCTGTTTTTACCTAATTAGCTATATAATGCATATACAGACTGCAAAATTTCTTCCTGAGCTGCGGAGTTGGTGGTTGAAATATTCGACCCCAGATTTTCCTGGACTCCATCTCACACTTTACTAAAATATTTTCGGGACCCTCAAAAAGTATTATTTTTACTCATAAAGTGCAGATTATAAGTTATTTGTGTATAAATAATTATTGTGTATGATTGTTGTGTTGATGAAGTACAGATATTGTTTGTGTGAGTATAAAGTGCAGATTAACTAGGGTGATCCATTCTTTAAAATGAAAATAAGATCATTGCTGGAACAACTGCAATAATGTTTCTGTATTTCTTAGGCACTCAATGCTAAAGAACTTCTGTTTGCTCTTTCCTTCGTAACTTGAATTTTTTTTACAACCATTTTGGAAGAATGTAATAAGTGCAGTCAAAACACAAGGGTGAACATTTAATTGTGATTAATACATAAGTAGGAATTTGTTTTTTGATGCTGAATTTCCATCTCTTCTTTATCCTTTACCATCTGCTATTATATGCGTATGTGGAAAGTACTGAAAATATAATTCAAAAATTAAAACAGCTTCTCCGATCTTCTAAAATAAAGTAAGAAAGAATTAATATAATGTAACTAATATAATGTAATTAATATAATGTAATTAAGTTAATGCAGTGTACCATGTTTTTACAGTTACTGAAAAAGTCTAAAACTTATATGTACCAGGGACCGCAGAGCCGTTTGGCAGAGACTTTAGCCCCCTCATATTTTATAAATGAAGGTGTAAGGTCCCTTCAAAAAGAACAATTTTTCTATGAAGATTATTTGTGCAATTGAGTAAATTTGTAATTAAAAAAATAGAAAGATATTTTTTTTTTACTATATAGTACTATATATATAGTAGAACACCCTGTATGCATACATATATATATATGTCCCGCAGTGGACTGATCGTTAAGACACGGTTCTCATCAGATCACCGAAGTCAAGCATCACTGGCTGCGGTCAGTGTGCGGGTGGGTGACCCACTTGGATCAGTCTGCGTAGGGACCGAGGGTGTGCGGTATTGGTCCTCGTTAAACTGTGCTACCGTAAAGTGCTCGACTTCGCGCGCAGGTCGTTGGGCTACCGAAGCGGGGGTGCCATCCCCTCTGCAGAGGATCAAAATTGTGATGGCATGTCTTCGGATCATCCTCAGGGATGTTTCCCAGACCGTCGCCAATAGCCCATTGTGCAGCTCTAGTGCGACGTAAATCAACAACAACAGCATACATATATATATAGTATGAATTAGAACTTCAACCAATAAATGGCTTTCTATCCATATATGTAGATTCAGTCTTATAAGCAGTCGTCACCCTAGAAAGCCAGTAAAATGATTTATTCTTAGTTTGTGTTTGTATGTTAAGTCCAACAAGTATTACTAATATATATGGTTTTATTTTCTTTATAGTTCTAAATCGAAATCAGGTTTCTAATAATAGTTTAAGGAACATAGTTTCTGAAAATGGTTCAAACAAATTGTATTTTTTTATAAACTTCTTTGTATCTTTTCTCTCATGCTGGAGATGTTTTGAGNTTAATGTGAAGGTTGCTGCTGCTTTTCCTTAATTAATAAATTTAATTGGGGGATGGTTTTCGACAAAGCAACGTGTATATCATGTTCAACATTCAATCGATTTCGATGTTATATTTTTATTGTCACAAGTGTGGAAAATTCCGCTTCGCAAAGATACACTGTAGCAAACGGAATTATAGCTGCCATAGTTCGATTTACAAGCAATGGGTAGGCTTCCTAACGTTTAAAAATTAGGAGTAGTCAGCAGACCCCCAAAATATAACTCATGGACCCCTTAGGGATTCATGAACCACAGGTTAAGAAACCCTGCTATAGAAGAAAGGCAGTAAAATGATTTATTCTTAGTTTGTGTTTGTATGTTAAGTCCAACAAATATTACTAACATATATGGTTTTATTTTCGTTATAGTTCTAAATAGAAATTAGGTTTCTAATAGTTTAAGGAACATAGTTTCTGCAAATGGTTCAAATAAATTGTATTTTTTTATAAACTTCTTTGTATCTTTTCTCTCATGCTGAAGATGTTTTGAGAAAATAAATCCCTCTTTCTTACCAAGACAGTCCTTAGCCACCGGATGATTCTTTCAGGAACATTCCACGCATATTTCTCTTGACCAGTCTTATGGGGGCATTCACTTAAAAGGTCTGTGTCTTGCCACGCCAGCCTAAACCACAACATCTCTACCTCCAAGAATTACCCTGAATCGGAATTTATCAGTCGGAGAGAAAGTGCTGAAATCTTAGTACCCTATGTAAAATTGCTTTGAGGCGCTGTTGGTTCACAAGTTCGTTGCAATGCGTCTCAACGCGCATACAGACAGTTCAGGACTACCTTGAATTCAAAAGAATGGAATGCCAGCCAGATCTTCAGCTTGTCTGGAAAGATTTCACATTGTCTCAAAACATTTGTCAACTGTGTAATTAGTGTGAGAATTCTTTGAGAAACCTTCTATGCCTTTTCTTTATGGGGGGGGGGGGAATCTATAGCTCATATTCAAACTTTCCCCAAATGCTATTTTGCTGCAGCATTTTTTAACTATCTTTTTCTGATGTCCTTCAACTGATGATCTTTAAGAGGACGCTATATCGGTGGAAAAACATTTCATGACAATTTCTCTTTTACCTACATAGGTATTTAAAAGTAAGTTCAGATAAACTTTTAATTGTTATTTTTTTTTCTTAAAAATACGAATTTATTACTGATGGAGAAATTATCCTGCAATAATTAGTTTACATTTTGATATTTTGTAATAATTTTTTTCAGCGTTTGACATTTTATGGTTTTCTTTAGGTTTGTCTAAACTCTGTTCACTTTACTCCAAACTTTAAAATGCCTCTGGAGCTCGGCTTTACTCTGTTCCGCCCCTATTTCGGGGCATCCAGGGAATACTGTTGAAGGATCGGCTTAGGCCAGATCCTCCATTCTGTTTTCAAAAAGATTTTTAAAAATCTCTTCAATTCCTTTGTTTAGTTTCTTTTAATGGTATCAAAGTTGAAATTTCTCGGAAAAAATTTAATTCTTAAATCATCATAAACAGGACAGACAGTGAGTATGTGTTCGATATCTTCATAAGTTTTACAAACTTTGCAGTCCCGGTCTTTCCCGAGCAATTTTGACTGACAACTACCTTGGGCTCCATGGCTAGATAGAAATTGATTGATATAGAAGTTGGAGTAGATTTTTCGATTGCTGACTTTTGAGATAAATTGGTAAGTGTGTCGGCTTTTTGTATCATCACTATCCCATCTTTGCTGCCATGTTAAAAGGCTATTCTTCATAAGTTCTGTTCTTGTTGTCTGTTTTGATGGTATGTCATATAGATCTATTGTTGATTTTTGACAAGCTAATTTGGCCTGTCTATCAGTTTCCTCATTGCCCTCATATCCTTTGTGGGCTTTAATCCAGTGGAATTTAGTAATATTTTTGTCAGTATTTTTTATCATTTGAACTAGGTAATCATTCGTGTTTTTGTTACTAAGGGCTTGAGGACTGGAGTGTGAATCAGAATAGATGTTTATTTCGCTATTGATATTATTTTGGTGTATCCAGTGGAGTGACTGAAGTATCGCCCATAATTCTACTTTGAAAACTGTTGAATAATCTGTAAATCTGAAGTTGCGAGACTCTCTAAGACCACCATCGATCTATATTACGAATGCACATCCCACTTTGTATTCGCTGTTATAAATTAGCCTGGAAATATCTCAATTCCATCTTTTGTTGGTAAATTGGGTATAATATAAAATAAAACACAACTACTTCCACTTAGTAGGAGTAACATTTACCATGACGCAATGCTAAATTCTATGCCACTATCCACATAAATCAATTATTAATCAAAAATCGAATATCAATTACTTTTCTTTATAATGCAATAAAATCTGGCGAGCAGCTATTTAAACGATCAAACACTTCGTTTGTTTATTTGTGGCTTGAAGTTAGGCTCGCAGAAAATGCCGTTCATGGGTTAAATTTAGTAGGAATAACACAACCTGTGACGTAGGCTATAGTATACCCAATTGTAGTCAAAATCTAAGAATTTTAATTCTGCGGGATGTATTGGTGGGAAGTCTGGTAGAGGTATGTATGGATCTCCATCACTTTAATGGAAATAAATATTCGCCATTTTTTCTTCTGTATTAAAAATTAAATCTAATGTGACGGTCGCGGCCAAAACTTGTAGTGTATCGGTAGAGGTTGTCCTGTAGGCTTTTGTTATGGAGAGAAGAGGAATTCGTTCTATTTTTTTCTAAGTCTGTTGAGAGTTCTGACTTAATTATTGTTCCAGATTTCGGATCCATAAGTGATTAATTTTTGTGTACTATTTTGGAAAATGAATTTTTTAATGTGTGGGTTCATACCCCAGTCAACTCCAGAGAGTCTGTTCAGTTTAGCTTGGAAGATTGAGATTTTATTGTAAAGCTCATCCAAATGGGGCAACCGGGAGAGCTGATAGTCAAGTTGGAACCCAAGGTAAGTTATGGTTGGGATTATGGATACACTCTGTTCACCCATTTTTACGGTTGGTTTTCTAGAGATCTTGTTAAGTTTTGGAAAGACTATGGCTTGTTTTTACTATACTGAATTTGAGGTTTTGTGCTTTTGCCTATTTCTCTTAAGTCTCAAGTGCAGTAGTCATTTGTGGGCCCAGTCGATTTAACATTGATCCTGAAATCATTACAAAGAAAGTAAAAGCAAAAATTTTTTCATTCATCGTTCTGTCTTCTTTAAGTTTTACATTGGCGATGAGTAGCCACAGGATGGGACCAATGCTCGAACCCTGTGGCACTCCAATAGCAACGTTTTGTAAAATCTCTGTATTCTGAATAGAGTAGCTCACAGATCTATTATTTAAGAAGCTTCTAATTAAATTCGTTGGAGTGAAACTACAATTCAGTGTATTCAGTTCATTGATGATACTTTTCCACAGTACGCAGTCAAAAGCTCCCTTGATGTCGAGGGAAACTTCTAACGAGTGGTGCCTATTTTCTTTAGCCTGTTTTATGGAACTGATTAAACATTTAATAGCTGATGTGGTGGATTTATGTTTTCGGAAACCGTATTGATCATGGTGCAGGAGGTCATTTGCTTCGAGGAAAAAGGTTAACCTATTTGTAACGAGCTTGTCTAGGACTTTACCCCACACTGGAAGCAAGGGTATTGGACGATATCCATCAGGTATGGAAAGATCCCTTCCTGGCTTAGGCTTAGGTATTAAAATGATTTTTGCTTTCTTCCAAATGGTTGGAAAATGTTCAAGTTCATAACACTTATTCATTATATTCTTGAACCATTGTGGTTCAAGTTTAAATATTGCCTTGATAATTTCTGATGGTAAGCCATCATATACCGGGGCTTTGTCATTTTTTAGCTTAAGGACTGTGTGTTCAATTTCTGTGAGTGTAAAAGGTTGGTCTAAGTTATTACTAATTGCTTCCGGTAGTGGGGTGGGGAGTCCTGTACTGATTTAAAATATTTCGATATTTCACTAACGGTTTCAGTTGTGTTGCTTGTAAATGCACCATCACTTAATTTTTGTTTCTTTAAGATATCATCGTTTGAAAAATGTCCTCTTGCAATGAGGTAGCTTGGTCCAAAACACTCCTGTGTGGTTATGTTTTCTAAATAGAAATGTAGTCTTTTCTTTTTCTGTTTTGTGATTTCTTTATTATGCCGATGGAGATGCAACAAAATTTACCACAAAAAGTTTCTCCAGCGGTTTAGAGCCCACTTAATTCGCATCAGTGCATTTTTGTTATTAGCATTAGCGATTTTATCATACGCTGATGTAGTTTTATAAAAATTTTACTTCATCGCAGATGTGTGTTTGTTCCTTAACTCTTGGACGTTAGAAAACCTATACGATTAAAAAAAAATACAAATTGTCAAAGTCAGGGGGGCTAATGCGAAACAGGCAAAAAGGTTGATAACTTTTCTTTTAATTTTGCTGTTGTTACTAATACCATTTACCGATACCAACAATCCTACTTTGGAAATTCAAGTGATTTTGAGGTAGGGGGTGCATCTATGGCCAAGAATGCGAGTTCGGCCGCACACGCGTCACAGCCTGTTCTTACTCCATTCATTCACAGATCGTAATTTTGACCTGAACCAGAGAATATTCAATTTCCAATTCAGTACCCTCAGAAGTATTGATTTGTTATGGAAACTTAGTGACCTCGACAGATTTAAGGTACACCAGTCACACGGGATTCTTTGACCGGCAGGATTCTAACTCGCAATCACACGAACATGAGCCCAGCTTTTTACGAAACAAGCTATCCCAGCCCACTCTTAATTTTTTCATTATTCGATAGTAAGCCGTGGTGGCTCAGGGGATAGAGCATTCACCTTCCAATGAGGTGAACCGAGTTCGAATCCCATCGTTGGCTGGTCGATATGAATTCCGCACCTGGCTCGCACCGATCACAGTGCTGACGTTAAATATCCTCAGTGGTAGACGGATCTTGGGTTAGAGTCCAGTTGCCGTCAGACAAACTGTGAAAGATTTTACTGGTTTTCTCTCCATGTAACGCAAATGTGGGTTAGTTTCATCAAAAAGTCCTCCACGACGGCAAATTTTTCCCTATACTTGATCCAGGAGTTATCTCATCTTCTGAATTGAGTTCAAAATTACAAGGCTTCAGAGTTGAACATTAGTAGTCGTAAACCCTGAATTGGGTCAGCTGCTCAACAATGGTTATAAAAAAAATATTCGATTGTTTTTAGATCCAAAAAAAAACAACAAAAAAATCCTGTATTTCTTATTACCTAGGCAAACATAAAAATTACAGTGATAGTAAGTTAACGTTTTTGTACCCAATTGGCCTCAAAGCAAGCAACATTTTTTAATCACCGTTACTATTTCTTAGCCTCTACGTCGTTTTGATCTAAATCACTTTAAATCAAACTTTAGAATCCATGAATAATCAAGAAATTTTTCATCAAGGAGAAAAATCTCCCACAAAAAGCTTAAAAGTTTGCAACAACTACGCAAAACATTGAACAATTTCATAATAATTCAAGATTTTTAATGCAAGAAGATCATTAAAAATTAGATAATATAAATTCGGAACTTAATGGGTGATGCAAAAAGTATAATCTTTTTTACCTGATTATCAATTGTATCAACATCAATTTGCACTTAATATCGAGCAAACACAATACCGAGTTGCACAGCGTTGATATCGTAAAGATAGGCCAGATGATCACCGAGGGTGATGGTTATTTATTTAGATTGAAAGTAATACAGAATAAATTTCTTAGACATGGACAAATAGCCAAATTTTCATTTTGTGACATAGCTAAGTTAACTGTTAACCGATCTTAAAACCAAAACAAATATATTTTCCTCATAAATGTCCTCATCCTTGCTCTGAATTCAAACAAAAACCGGTTCTGAAGTGTGCGAGGAAGTATTCACTTACTGAATTATACACAATGTAGAGCTTGTTTCGTAATAAGACCGGTTGAACCTCTTTCCTTGCTTCGAAGATTACTTACGAGGCAAACATAAACAATCAAACCGAAACAGTTAAGAGCCTCTGCCCCATTCGTGCTGTGTTATATACAACGCGAAGTTTCTTTATTATCCTAATTGTAATCAAGATTATCTAAGTCTATAATTTCATAAGGTTTATTGTAGTCGATACGAATACTGATAATCCATGATTATTTGCAAGAGTAAATTAAAGTTATTTGAATTATGAAGAAATATTTTGATTACTCGGTTATCGATAAATAAGCTGTATTACCTGAGAAAATCCGGAGCTTTCGAGATGATACTCTGGAATTCGATGAAGGATAACTTTTCATCGTCATCGTTGTCCCCTTCCTCTAAAACCTTCTCCACAACCAGGCTGACTTCGTCGGAACTGAGTTCGCCTCTGGTTAAAGCAATGGTTGCCTGCTTGAGATCATCAGACCCAATAAACTTGTCACCATCATAATCTGTAATGACAAATCACCTATTTTTAGAAGAAAGAAGGTGACTGCAAGGATTCGCAGAACCACTCTTAACACATGAAAAAAGAGACTCACATTAATATGGGTTCATACAAGAATAAAGACAGGAACAGGACGCCTCTAAGGCCTGACTAAGGCTCACATACTAATTTCTATATATAAGGCTCCTATACTAATTTAGGGGCTCTAGGCCTAACAAGCAACAACTTTTCTATCTTTGCACGCGCCATCTGACGTGTATTCTTGCGAACGAAAAATGCCAAACGGATTTTATGAACGGAACGCTCCAAAAGTCTTCATTGATCTTATCTTGGTTTTTCAGAGCTCAATCGCAAGGATAAAAAAAAAAGCTACCGTTTGAGGGCCATACTTTTGAAGCAAAGCTATAATTTTAAACTGTATAGGCGATCTCAACGCTTGAATAGAAGACCTGTTCCATGCCTTTGGCCCTTCTCCCTTCCCTCTCTTCCTCTTTTCAGTTCTATATGAATGTACTACGATATTTTCCCTTTTTATTTTTCGCATTTAATTGTTAAAAATATTTTTTGAAATTTCCATGACGCTTTCTTTCAGAACTATATTTAGTGTTGTTTTCAGTTCCATATAGCTTCCTCACTTAAAAGATTTTAATCTATTTGAAAATCAAGACAGAAACTAGCGTACTTCCTTCTTCCATGACTCACCAAACGCTAATGGTAAAAGCCTGCGAGGTATTGCTATAGGTAAAGAGTTTTGCTCTACGCCACCTGTAGTCTATTTCGATCGATAATATGTCATCTTGTCGTCAAGAATTATCTGGGCTTTCGAACGGACAAGTAATATATTTTAAAAATTATAAAACTTTTTTAACAAATCGCCCATTTGGTGATATTTTTTAAACCCAAAGGAAAATTATCAAAATTAATACCTTATTCCCAGAGAAAAATAGAGAACTTAATTGTTACGTTTTTCACGAGATAACATCAATCAGGTTCTCATTTTTTCTCGATGGCGATCGGAAGTGCACGAACTGCATTCAGTGAGAATGATCTTTTAGGTGGGACCGTGGCTACAGAATCGGACTCCGGTTTGGAGGAACCGTTATTTAATCCTCGACTCCTCTAATACCTACCGAGTACATACGATATACAAGCTCATAATATCTGTGAAATCCAAAGANCACGTGCTTAGTGTGCCTAATGGTTAATCCGGCCTTGCATACGATATACAAGCTCATAATATCTGTGAAATCCAAAGACCCGTAGTCGGTTACTGAGCAGTACCATGGGTATAGGAATCTGGAGGAAATTTCCTTCCCCTTCAGATCTATGTCCAAGCTATGGAAGTTGGCCTCACAAATGAGATCTCCTCTACAGAGGATCAAAATTCGAACCCCTTAATGTTAATTTCACTTTTTGCGTATCTCGTCATATCTTGAGGACAAATAAATCGAGTCAAAAAATTCTTGCTCACAATTTAAAATTCATTTACGCGAAATTAATTTCATACAAAGAAATAATTACTTGCTGTTCTAACAAACCGAAATGAACCACTCCTAAGGAACCGTTGCCATTTACAAGCAAGAAGGACTACCTAACTAGTGAATTTGTTGTGGGAAAATATCTTTCGCTAATCACGTCTTATAAGAATATTAATGTTACGATAATCATTTATTGTAGTACATATTATTACACTGCACACACTAATGTCACTCTATTTCTTTAATGAAATATTAAATAGGGAGAGTATATTTACCGAACACCCTAAATGCGTAGACCACTTTCACATCCCTCGGTGACTGTTCACTGAAGCAGGAAAGCATGTCTAGGAAGTCATCGAAAGTCATGTTCCCACTACCGTCATGAGAGAACACCTTGCAGATCCTCTGGCGGAAAGGATTCTCCTGATAACAAATTTATATATAGAGTGTCCATTGGAAATAAAAAAAACCTTCGATTTTAAGCACTCCTATTCCTAGAATTCCTTGAGATTGGAATCTTCTAGTAATGATTAAAAGAAGCAAAGCAAAAATATGGATGGTAGACAGTATGTAAACAATAACAAACTTCTTACGACCCGGAGAAATTTAGAAAACTTACGGTGTATTTCTCCGCTTGTGTCATGCTTACGAGGCGATGTGTGAGCAGGCTTGATATTCTAGAAAGTTTTATTATTGAAGTATTTGGTGAAATTTGACCACGAAGAAGAGTTTTATGTGACTTAAAAATTCTAACAGGTCGTGAGCCGAAAATAAATTGAAGAAAATTATTATCATAACATAAATAAAGTGTTAGGTTTGCCACGTTTTGAGTGTTATCCCTTATTTGGCTATAATTGTTGAAAATATCGCCGGTTGTTATTTTTTGGTAGCAGCATCATAGCATGCTTTCGAGATATTGCATGGCGCGCTTTTTCAAGCTTATGGGTAAAAATCAATCGGAAGAAGTAACCCGGAAATCTTACGGCGAATTTTAACCCTTAGCTTCACCAACCATCCATACAGTACCCTTCTAACATCCTCGGGACCAAACGTCCCAAAATAGAGGTGTCCTGAGAGTTACATACAAGCTAAGAGATAGGTGTCATTCAATTGGAAATTCAGATTCACATTTAACTTTTTTTATGCAATATGCTACATCTGCTAGTACTTCTTCACCACAAATAGTTTTAAAAGCCATGTTATGCTGAAATCTGTCTAACTAACCATTTTAAAGTTTTCTAATCGCAGACTAGTCAAAACTTTATAAGCATTTTCTTGCAATATAGTTTTTTCACTTACAAGAATATTTCTTGTTCTTACAGAATGAAACAAATTGAACACTAGCCAAATGTTGGCAGTTTTGAAATGTTTATATAAATTAGTAATCACTCTCTCTCTATCTCTCCTCTTTTTTTTTTTCTTCTTTTTTTGTCATTTCTTTAACCTATTACTTATTTTTCTTTTACTCATTCTAAATTTTTGTTTGAATTCACTCAAAGAAAGCTTCTCAATTTCTGCTAGATTGATTACATAAATTTTTTCTTCCAATATTAAGGCCTGTTTACACGGTCCAAATTCTTGAATCCGAGAAATTGGAGGGATTTCTCTGTTCAAGAAATTGGATGATTCGTCTACCCTATCCAAGTTCTTGAATGTTACTGTTTGGTCGAAAGAAAAATTTGCGCATGCGCATTGTCCATATTCAATATTAAGTTTCCATCATTATCAATCAATTTTCGTCCAAGAATTTGGATCGTCTAAACAGACCTTTAAATTTATAAGATCAAAATTTATAAGACTCTTATTCTACCTGTATTGCTCTATGCAAGTGAAACATGGACACTAAACGCAGACACTCAGCGTACTCTTGGTGTTTTTGAAAGGAAAATCCTTAGAAATATTTTTGGCCCAGTACAGGAAAGAGGCTGTTGGCGAATCAGATACAACTTTGAATTATATAGACTCTATGGACAGCCACAGATAGTGCAGGTCATCCGAAGCAATAGATTAAGATGGCTTGGCCATATCTGGAGAGGTCCAGAAAACAACGCAGTACGAATCGCCACCCTTAAAAATCCTTCTGGATCTCGGGCAAGAGGAAGACCTCCAACTAGATGGCTGGATGACACTACTAAAGATCTCAAAGGAGGCTACGCGTGGTTGAGGCAGCTAAGGCCTGTAAGGAATGTCGTGTTGAAGAAGAGGAAGAAACAGACCTTTAATCTTTTCCTCTTTGAAATAAGATCGATAACATGTAAAAATAACATTCCTCCATACTACATCACAGATTTCGCAAGAACGAAATAAAACTTCTCTAACTACATAAGTATTTTCTACAACAACGAAACAACGAAACAACGTAAACAACGAAAACCTCCCACGGTTAGTCTGACGGATAGGGGATTCTAACCCATGATCCATCAAACACTAAGGATATTTTATGACAGCACTGTGGTCGGTGCGAGCGGGTGCAGAATTCGTATCGACTAGCCATCGCTGGGATTCAAACCCGGCTCATTTCATTGGAAGGCGAACGCTCTATCCCCTGAGCCACCACGACTCTTTATATATATGTTGACATTAAGAGTACATAAACTTTGTCCTTCACAAGTTGCTGTTAAGAAAAGCATAAACGTTTTTCTTAACGAGTATACNATATCCCCATCCGTAATTATGGGGTCTTCTTTCTTAGACAGAGATGATGTTTGATTATCAATACACTATGAGTTTTTCTCGGGTATTCAAAAACAAATTTGTGATATGCAGGACAATAAGCAGAATAAAAATGTAATTTTTAGAAAGCTCAAATCTAATAAACAGCAGTGTTTAGTTTCGAGGAAGGCATGTAATAAGAAGCTCTGAGAAAGTCTCCTTTGAAATCACAATAGAATAGATAAAAGAAATGTGAAATTCGACGTGAAACGTTACTTTTACCATTCCTCTTGCATATTTAATATTTTAAGTTCCTAAAATGAGTCTTATTTTGTTATTTTTTATTTGAATTTTTTTTTCCTATAGTATTCGTTAACAATAACCCGATTTCAAGTTTCATTTTTGTGGTAGCCGAAATGTAAATTTTCAAAATTAGGACGCTGTATGTTAACTGTTTTGTTACATAGACGAGAACTGCAATACTTACCCTGAGCTCCGCCATTTTCTCTACTTTATCCAAAATCACTGTTACGGTATGAGCTTCATCCCCTGTCATCTCTTTTGGAATTTTATGTGGATCTAATTCTCTGTACCTTTTGTGTACTCTGAAAAATTCACATGGTATTACTTTGGATCAAAAATGGTATGTTTTTATTTTAAGTTCCTATAGAAAAATTATTTATTTTTTGCTACTTTTTTATTTGATATTACGTGAGCAAAATTTGAAAATCCTTAAATAATGAGTGGCTAATATTAGCTTATGTGACTTGAATTTTAGATTTCAACTTTTTTTTAAAAAATAATTTCATTAAAATGGTCAAATAATTGAATTACGATATCTAAGATATGCCAAAAAGGTAAAAAATGCATTATAAAACCGATTCCAAAACTAATGTTTAATGTTTTTAATATTTGCGTGTTAGTAAAGCAGCGTATTTTTTTAATATTTGGAAAATTCATAGTTCGTGCTTCTTTCCTTACGCAACTGTACACCGGGCATTATTTTCAATTTAATCAACTTTCTTCATTATCCATTATTATGTCATACAAATTTAATTATATGCTGTGCAAATTTAATATACAACTTTAATTATATGCTGTATATGTACTATAAAAAATCCTATGCATTTTGCAGCGAAACTTGATGTAACAGGTATAAACAGTTTAAATACTACAGCAGATTGATGTAAATTCCATGACGAGTTATTACTGACAATGCACAACACTGTCTTTGACCATAATGCGCGGTCAGAAACAGTATATTGCGACATTGACAAAAGACATTGACATTGTTTCAATAATACCAGTTTTTGTAATTTTTATTAAAATGAAAGATCCAAAAATTACACCTTTTATTCTTGTCGGATTTGTTGAATTGCAAAAGCAAGATTCTGAATCAATTCTCGAAATTCTAATACAGACTTTGTACAGCATAGGATATGAGAATACAATAGAGTCCCATTTATCCGAGTTAATGTGGACCCACGACTAACTCGGTTAAAGCGAGGAGTACAAAACTGAAGAGAGTAGTTATAGATGTAATATATTTAACAAATGCAAAATTTATACGAGTACACCATATACAATTCATATTATAATTAAAAAGCTTACTTAAGGAGCATACTTTACGAGAATTGAAAAGTTTCTACTTGAAAAAGTCCTTAATCGTGTTTTGTTTTATTCAAAAGTACTTTCGATAGCTTTTAGTCCATCTGTATGAGAGATTTTTATATGTTGATTTTCATCATCTTCGCTAGATTCATTTTTCTTATTGACGATATTAACTGTCATTTCATCGGCAATCTGGTGTTGATAAAATGAAAAAGATAATGTTGGATTCTGTTTTCCTGAGTATTTGGAAGATCAAACTTTTTTTTCGGCAGTAGTTTTAAACATGAAAAATAAACTGGAACAAAAAATGAAATCCTTGAATTCTTAGCTCGGCCAAAGCGGAAACTCGCATTATCGGGACTCTCCTGTACTTATTTAAAACGAAATCTAATTTCATTTTATTCCGATGGAGCCAGTGTTGAACCTAATTGGAGATAAAGTCTGGTGTCGGTGCTTATATTTTTACTGGTTTTCGAATATTATTGTAATCTGGAATATTATAGTGAGCTATTCATTTGAATCATCGCCTTTAACTCGTTTTAGATGATTAAATCAAAGAAATTAATCATTTTTATTAATGAAATGTATACACTTTTTCATCAATTAAACAAAAATTAGATTGAATTTTTCAAGATTTTAGAGTAACTTATAAATGAAATCATAAAAATTGGACGTGTGTTTGGCTCACGATGGGCAGCATGTCATTTAAGATCAACAACTGCAGTTTGGCGATCTCTGTCTTTGTTCTTCAAATCAAATAAAAAATTCTCAAGCATGCCGAAACGTCTAAAGAACAAAAACTTCCTGAAAGATCATCACTGATATTTTTACGGAAATCTCTATGTTGTTTAAGGCATTGAAATGTGACAATGAAAAGGAAAAAAATTGATTCGACGAACAATTAAAGTGTTTAAAATGCTTAAGATTAATGATGGGGCTTAAGAGAAAACATTAGAGGACACTGAGTGTGCACATTAAATTAGGGATTTAGTGAGATATTCATTTAGCGAGAGCACAAAATTCAAATGTTTCCCAAGGGAAATCGATAGCATAATTTAAAATCTTAAAAACAGATCAATGAATACCGATTATTCGTTAACGTACGATAACAGCTCTAATCAGAAACAGCTAGGTTACATAAAATATTTGAAATCGAAATAGTGGGAAATTGAAGATATCGTTGTTCCTCGGAGAGAAAGTGAGGAGATTTGAGAACAGCAGCATGTCTTTCTGAAGCATCCAAAACATCCTACTTAGGATTTAAGCCCGGTGATCGATCTGGCAACTCCATGGGCAGTATTGTTTACTGATGATAATCATCCACGATGTATGCCCTGAACGGCATACGGCATTGTATTATTATCCTGTAGCACGAAATCGTCTCCTATTGCACGAACATAAGGGTATATGTAAACATTAAGGGTATTGTTTATTCTTATCTCGACCAGCCCTATTCAAGGGCACACGAGAGTAGAACATAAAAACATCAAGGGTATACTATCTCTATAAACGTGAGCAATCACAGTGCCACGTGGAAAGACGTGCAGGTCTGTGAGCCCACCTATGGAGATACCACCTTACGCACAGACACTGCTTCTTTGGTATGCATCTCTTTCACGAGTGTTTAATGGAGGTTACAGGTTCTCTCCATATCAAACAGTGCTTACTATTACTTTAGAGACTAAACCTGGACTCATCTGTGAAGAGAAAAATCCTCCATTGGTTAGCCATCCAGTGGACATATTGCTGCACCCACCTCAAACGTTCCCTTCTATGACGTGACGAGAGTGGCGTGCCAATGGCTGGTCGCTAGCGAACAGTTCAAGCCACGTTCGTGAAGCTTTCTACGCACAGTAGACACTGACACAAATCTTCTTTTAGCTGTACTAAGAGAAGATCTGAGTTAACTCTGAGTTGCGGTTATATTCCTTCATGCACACAAAGATAAATGCTCGTCGCTGCATTTTACCGTCTTTGGCTGACCCTTCTGGAGGGTTTACCAGTGGTTAGAAATTGTTGCGACAGTCTATATGAAGCACAGAAGGAGTCATATTAAGCCATCTGGCCACTTCTATATGATTTTGTCTTCCTCTAAACTTCCAATTGATCTCCATCGCAGTTCTTTGGACAAATGGTACCTGGAGGTCATTGTTACAAATTGGCTATCTTAAATTTCTAATTTCAAAAAGAGTGATATCAAACACATTATTTTATGCTCATTGCAGATAACGTCGTTCCATTGCAATGCCACTAATTTGCATATTGCAGTTTTATCTAGCAACTCTTATTTGAACAACATATTCAAATTTCATTGAGATTGGGTTGTTTTTGAAAGAGTCAATTTTACAGTTTTCCCTTAATTTATGATAACCAGCGTATTTTATGTTCTATAATTATTACTTTTTTTCTTCTGAAAAATACCGAAAATATTTTAATAGTATCGGTTCTTAAATTATTTCGCGTGCTTAAATCCCTGTAATTTCTCCTTGAATGCATTCCTAAAAGACAGTGTTTATGATGTACGATGGGAAGTAGGACTTTACCTGAGTTGAAAGCTAACGTAATACGCCATGTTGCTGAAATCCCTCGGGAGTTTCTTGGCATTGGCAATGAACGCGCTATAACGCGCCTTCAATACGCAGTTGGTGTCAATGAAGCACACGTTGCGCGAATTCTGTAAATGAATAAATTTGAATGATTCTGACTGAATTTAAATATCTTTCTGTTGGTGCCTCAATTCTCCTTGATGGCCAAAGTTTCCCCATGGTCCATATAGTGTATATACTGAACTCCATTAAAATTCAATTAGTGGAACGGGTTCTAGAGGGGTCTGAATAGGGTCGCTTTAATTATAATCACTCTGTACTTTGAATTGCTCCTATCGCGAAGTCAAACAATCTGAAGGGACAATATTCGACGATCATTTATTTTTAGGCTGAAAATAGACTTTGCAACAGGAAAAGAATATAACTGAAAGAAATTGAGTTTTGTTTTAAATTATTACATATTAAAATGCAGATTAATAGTATAAAAAAGACTCGTCAGAGGCTTTCAATATTACATATATGATGGTATTACCTCAGTATTTCCTTCCTGGTGAAAAAAGTGCAGTCCTTTAAAATAAAAACAAAAATTATGAAATATAATAAAAAGAATAAAAAAATTAAATGATTGTTGAAGCAATTTTCTTTGCTTTACTTTTTTTACTATGAAGTGTCTATTAAATAATGTATTCATTAAGAAAACAAGCAAATAAATGAGTGGATGATTAGTTATTCATCCTCAAATATTTAGGAGACTTAAGAAAACAATGCGAAAGGCTTGTTTATACGAGAAAAAAATTGTAATTCATTTATAATATTTGAAGACTCGGTGTTGTATGAGTAGAAGGTAACTCAGAGAAACGGTAAATTTTGAAATAACGTAATATGCACAAATAAACACTGAAAAATCATTTTTTTTTTCTTCTTTTATTGATGAAAGTTAATGTTTACGTTTTCATAACAAAATATCACAAACTGTCAACCTGTTAAAATGATATCAGGAAGCTTCCTGTTGCTGTTGGTGATCACATTCTCATAACCTGTTATAGAAACTGAGGAATGCTCGATGTATGACATTCTTCCGATGTCACCTTTACGAAATAGACAGTTTACGAATATTTTGCTAAGTATGTTAAGCTTTGTTATATATGATATGTTTTGTTACACACGTTATGATTTGTTATGAATGTTTTGTTACATATGTTATGTTTTGTTATGCATGTTTTGCTTATTCATGACTGCTAGATCAAGTTTAAACCACTTTTACCAGCGCCCTCTATGGTAATTCTGAAAATAGAGCAGACGTCAATATGAAAAAAAAAAACCCACAGTTTTATGAAAATAAAAGTGTTCGTGATACCATTTTTTAATTTATAAAAAGTTACTCAAATACTACATTAGCTGGACTCGTAAAAATTTGCAAAAGTTGAGTTTAGTTTACTGAGTTTGATTATTTTCACATGGATGGAAGAACCTTGCGTAATTTCCGATGATATGTTTGTCCTAAAGCTTAGATAACTCTTAACAGCAAAATGGTACACATTGTTTAAAAATTATACCTTTGTTTCAAGTGCATTTTTATTTTATGCGGCTAAAGAGCTTCGGAAACGCGGATTCTCAACTTAAACACACAAGTTCCAAATAGGAGATCTCCAATATACGTAATTTTAACACGGAATTAAAAAGAAAAATTTAAGAGAAACTTCGCCAAGGCTCCGATAATTTTAAAGCTGCTTGTCGCAAGTTTCTAACTATGTTTCATGCAGTATAGAGAAGTATTCTATAAATACTAAATAGTAAGTTTTTTTTCTTCTTTTCGATGCAACAAAAGATTAAAAACTTATATTCCTATAAGTAATCTCACCTGATAGTCCTCGAGTTGCTCCTCGGTGAAAGTGACCACCTTATTTCCCATCCTTTACTAACTCATCTGCCTGATCTTCCTTCTCTGTTTCATTCTGACCACACCCTGTTCAGCTTTATTTTTTTTTTTTTTTCAGAAGAGATGAAGATTAAACAAAAGAACTGATGAGAGTGCATCAATAAAAGAAGCATTCAGCGAGATAAAGAAAAAAAAAGTGTCGCAACCCATACATGAATTTTAAATTGTGGATAGATGGAATAGTGTCCAAATCCTGTCATTCATAAATTATCTGTCTACAGTAATATCACCCTGAAATACTTTTGTTCAAATGATTGGATTTTTAAATAAAGTGCCAATCTTGATGGTTCCGAAAGTGTATTTTAACTATGCTCATTACTTTGAATACAAATTAATATACGAATTTAAGCGCAAAAAACGCCTTTTCTGAATTAACTTATGCCGTGAAATGGGGTTACTTTGGAACAGTTTTTTTTTTTTTTTGTATATATATCTTGTTTAAATTGCAATTTATAAAATATATTTGAACAACTTATTTTTAATATGATAAGTATAAGTTTATTCTAAATAGGAAAATTTGAAAGAAAAAAAAATCTCACTCCCGAAGTTATTATTGCGTGTGGGGTCTCATTAGGACTTACAGTTTAGCACCTTAAAATCGACTAAAATACTATTCAGTACACAGTAAACATTCTTAATATCAAATATAGATACAGGCTTTTTAAAATATCTTTAAAAAAAATTCAGTGTCTATTTTTCTTAGCTCAAACCAAAAAACACAGAAGCAAAAGTATTATGTTTTTACTAATATAAATAATTAGAATAGTTATTTCTAATATTATCATTACTATTAGTTACTATTAATTTATCATTACTATTAGTATTTCTTAATACTATTAGTATTAAGAATTCTGTCATAATTAGAAAGCTTTTGAATAACGTTTACCTTACGTTAAAGATAGTGGTAGCCTTATTTTCTTTATAAGTAACCTTATATTATAAGTAACCTTGCTAATAAGTAACCTTGGTTATAAGTAACCTTGCTAATAAGTAACCTTATTAGGAATACTGCGCATGCTTAGAGCAACTGCAGGATATCACATCAAATGCCTAATTTTAACGTTTCTAATAACGATATCTCTCTAGTCGAGATTAAAGTTGCCCTGAAGGTAACAAAGTGAAGGGATACAGCAGGAAACAACAGCATTGCTCCAGAATTACTAAAAGCAAACGTTGAAATGACGACTAAACAATTACAGAAATTGTTTAACAAAATATGGGAATGCGAAAAGGTGCCGGAGCAGTGGAAATAAGCGGTCATCATTAAAATACCCAAGAAAGGTGACCTTACGCGCTGTGAGAACTGAAGATTCATTAGCAGTCTTTTCACACCTGGAAAAATCTTTTGCAGAGTACTCTTCAACAGACTTAAAATTTAAATTGAGAAATATTAGCGTGTTGATAACAAACTGGTTTTCGATATCGGAGCAGCACAACACAACAGGTTTTTGTACTCAGAAACATAATTGAACAAAGTCTGGAAATGAATTCTTCCTTATACTTCAATTTTAGTGAGGTTATCGACTCTCTCAATAGAGATGTGCTGTAGAAGATCTTAAGGAATTATCAAATTTGTAAACATCATAAAGAGTATTTGTGACGGCAGTAGAGTCAGTGTAGAAGTTGATGGCACAATGATTGGATTATTTAAAGTTCAAACAGGAGTAAGACAAGGCTGTGTCTTGTCGGGATTCTTTTTTATAATTGTCATTTGACACCACTTTAGAAGACCTAGATTTTGCCAATGGCATTGTCCTCATATCATCTAATTTTAATGATCTGAATATGAAAACGCAAACTTTTAACAAATATCCTAACGAAATTGGCCTTCAAATTAATAAAAGTAAAACAAAAAATAATGAGAATAAATGCGAAATTTAATAGAAGCATCGAAATTAACTCCGGAAAGATCAAAGAGGTTTATTCTTTTATTTATCTCGGAGCGGAGCTATTGTTAATAAACAGGTCGGAAGTAATGATGATATTTCCCAGAGAATCAGAAAAGCTAGATCCTGTTTTAGAAGATTAGAGATCTGTACAATTTTTGGAGAGCTTCAAATGTAAAATTTTAAACAAAAATATCTGTCTATAAGGTCCGTTCCATTCTTCTGCAGGGTGTCGAATGAAAAAACTTGAAGAAAAAACTTGAAACTTTTCACAATAGATACTTAAAAATAATACTAAAATGCTTCTGGTCCAATAGTATGACAAATAAATACCTTTTAACAAAATCTAATATCTCTTCTGTAAAAGAAGAAATTTTAAAACGAAGATGGAGATGGCTCGGCCCTATATACTAAGAACAGATAGAAGCAATCCTGCAAATGTTGCAAGCTCATGGGCACCTGACGGAAAGAGAAAAAGAGGGAGACTGAAACTAACATGGCAAAGATGCATTAAGGAAGATCTTAGTAGAGCAGGATTAACTGGATGGGAAGAAGCGCGTTGCTTGCGCAAAGACAGAAGTGTGTGAAGGAGAAGACTCGAGGCCTTATGTGCCAGTTCGGCACGAACAGGATAAGTAATAGTTCTCATAAAAAAATATTAAAATAATTCTCCCCCCTTAGAAAAAGAAAGCAAAGAAATATACCCAACTCAAAAGTCCCCCTCTTTTTACCTCAATCAGCGAAACTGAATTACAACTGTTAACAATGCTTGTGCTGAAATTTCCCTACACATTTTCCCTGTTGTGGTACCTTTTTTCTTTCGCCAGGGACCCTTTTTACCAGTACCTTTTTTTCCGGGACTAAAAGAGCTATATCTTAGAGAGCTATTCATAAGAGCTATATCTTAGGTTTTATCTACGCTGTATATTATGCTATCTGTAAGGTTATTCAAAATAATGTTATGGTCCCTCGAACCAAACATTTTGATTAACTTGTAAACAGGAGTTTTTTAATTAAAAAAAAAAAATTAACTGAGACTTTCGTCCATTTGGCCTTTTTCCAGTTGACTTAGCCTGTGATTTTTCCGTTACTTTCTGTCTGTGCTTCTTGCTGTCTTCAAAGCGATTTTGAGAAAAAGTGTCATAGCTTGCACTAACATGATTATGATTAGTTCGTGAAAATTGCCTTAATTTTCCATACTATCAAGTGCATTATCTCCTGTTTTTTTTTCTTTTTCTTTTATAGGCAGTGATTTCCCTACCGAAAACTATATTAATCAAAGATTGTACAACTAATCTTCTATTCCGAACTTCTCGTATTTTGGTTTGGTTAGTAGCCAAAAGAGACCTCTTTGGCTTTGAAAAGCTGCTGTCGCCGCGATTTCGTGCTAATGAGAGTCTTCATGAATCTCTCTACAGCTTTGTAAACGTGTTTAGGAGAAACGACGTAAACAGTAGGGGGGAAAAAAGTTATAGAATCTTTATTATCTTCACCTCCAAAAGCCATACAACGAGAGCAGGACATTTTGTAAAGCAAAACTTTGTTCCTCGCATTTGTTTTCTACTCTAAAATATGATTTTGATAAAGATCTCAATTCATTGCTTTTATAAATAGATTTTTTATTAAAAAAAATTTTGTATTGGTTTAATTGCATCAAAATGTATGATATGGGACGCAATCTTCTCTTAACACTGACGTTGCACACTATCTCGAATGTGTGAGTATTTATACTATCGGCATCGTGTTTATTAGTTTAATTTTAAACTATTCGGTAACATAATAGTAAAATAATGATAATTGAAAAAAATTCTTTGATTGTCACAATGTTTAAAATTATGATTTAAAAAAAAAAATTCAAATCAATGTAAAAAAGAATCTCGTTTAAATTTTTCTCTGAAAAGTCCTGTATATTCTTTGCGAAAACATGCTTTGTGAATGATACAGTTTTTCTTAATGGCTAAATCATCAATACCAGAAACTTGACTCAAGCCTCTATTCAATTTTGTTGCATTTTCTTTTTTTAAAATGCCCTGTTTTAAATATTTACATATAATACCNACGAAATGACTTGTCGACGAAATGACCCTGTCGACGAAACAACCGTGTCGAGGAAACGGCCTGTCGACGAAATGACCTAGTCGATGAAACGGCCTGTCGAGGAAGTGGTGTCGATGAAGTGATTGTCGATGAAATGAATGCGACCCTATGTATTACATATTTATTACTTTTTTTATTTTTAAAATTAAGTATTATGCAAATTTTTTGGCTATGATTGCTGTTTTGGTACATAGTAGCACTAAATAATTATCGAATTATTAAACATTTATGATGTGCCCACGTGAAATTATCTATGCAATATAAAAAATTGTGGAAAATTTTCAAAATAATAAATGTTTTCCTGGTTTCATTCCCTGAAAAAATGTCTACGAGTACTTTCGAATTTTGCTTCAGGTTTTTTGTTAGGTAAAATTTAAGATACTGAAAAAATAAAGAAATGCAAGTTTTTTCTGGAAAGAAGAAGTGAAATGAAATTAATAGAAGCAAGTATTTTGGTTAATTTTAAATTATTTTTCTTTATTATTACAATAATTACAAAAAATGACACTTAAAAAATTTGAAAAACGAAACAATAAATTTATCTTAATCCTGAACAAATCTTTAAATAAAGCTACAGTTTTATTTTATTGAAATAAATGGTAGCATGTAGTTATATTTTAAGTTGATAACAGCAATAAAAAAAAGTTAAAATTTCTACTTCAAATTAAAATATAGCTTTTCAATTATAAAGTGTGGTTTTTATTATACAGTTCATAATGTTAATAATGTATGGAAATTGCGAAATTACCAAACACTATAGTAAAATGAGACATGACTTTTGTAAAATATCATAAACTAACAAGTTCATTTGAAATTCTGATAAGATTGGCTAAAAAAAAATTAAAAAAATGGAGCACATTTAAAATTAAAAATAAACATTTGGAAATGATTAATGATATAAAATTTATCAGAAAACTCTTAATAATAAAGAAAAGAAAAAAAAATGTTAAATGCCTCTCAAAAAATGTTAATTAAGCCACTCAAGTATTTAGTTAAATGTGAAAATTTCATTTTTAAAAATCAGCTGGACATAAAATATAATTTGGAGTAAGTGGGAGAAAAATGTAAGGTACAAGAATTCGGTAATATAGTTTTCAGATTTTTTTTTCTTCATTAAGAACATTTTCTGAAAATTTCAACAAAATAAAAAATC